CTTCTATTACACACGTATTATATATATATATATATATATATATATATATAATTTATTTATATTCCATTAAGTTAATTTATTGAATAATAATACATTTTATAGAGACTTAATGCTCTATTTGACTCAAATATGAATGTATGAAATATTAATAATATTATCACATATGGATAATATTAATATTTAGTTTTACATAAGTTGTCTAAGTTATCATCATTTAATATTATATAATTTTTAAATAAAATATTTCACATGCATTACTTTAAAATGTTATATAATATTATAATTTGATATAATATTAATTAATTTATATTTTATTTAACTAAATGTATAAAATTAGTCAATAATAATTTTATTGAGCCTTAATGCTCTAAGCTATCGCTAATTTTACTTGAATAAATTTAATATTTGTCCCAAATATGAGTTTAATATTAATATTTATTTTTATAAAAGTTATCTAAACATGTGGAATCTTAAAATGTGGTGACACTGTTCACTGAGAAAGTTTCATTGAGAAAATTATTCAATAAATCATGGCAATTTATTTCCAAAAAAAAAAATGAAAAGAAATTCAAAACAGACCATTTTAAATGTTCACATTTTGAGACAAAACCTTAATAATCACATCACTCATTTAGACTTTTTGTGTTTTGAGAATAAAAATGACAAAAAAAAATTACTAAATTAATTTATGGTTTGTCACAACACATGTGGGTCTAATAAAATGTTTCAGTTGTTCTGAATTTTTTTGAACTGTAAACTGTTCCAATGCAACATCCTGTGTGACGTGCTAAATTCCATTTAAATTTGATTCAAACTTTCAAATCAAATGAGAGTTTCAGCATTTTGCCCAACTGTTATTCAGATAACAATCAGATTGCTTCAAACTCCGCCAGAGAAAAATGTGTTTATAAAAATTGCAGACGGGACCTTTAAATATCTACGATGGGCTGAAATAGCAGTGTTTGGCACCACGTGTTGTGAGTAAAACCCACATAACCCACACAAGCCACCGATCACAGCAAAGCAGCAATTTCACATCTTCATTGGGCTGATTGTTCGATGCGCCGGACATCTGTTTTGAGTTAAAGTGCCGAGGTCAGTATAAGACTGTAACCCGATGTAAATCTCCCGCACAAACGCACCCGTGTACACACACATTCCCTTCAGACTGATTTAACTGACCTGGAACGGCTGGGCATACGAGCCACCGAATGTCAAAAACATGAGCTCACGCAGTCTGAAAATACAATTAATACCACAGAACTGTGTGCTCAGCAGTCCGAGCCCAAATCTGATAGATTTATCGCTCTCTTCTACGGGTTAACCGCGTAAACTGCTTCATTTTGACACGGAGGATAGAGTGACGGCGTTTTGGGCCTCAGTCGCGGTCGGTGCGGAGTTTGATTAGACATGCCTGAATATCAACCATATAAGTTGGGTTCCAGCAATAATGTTTGTTTGCCTTGAGTGGGATGAAGTCCTGAGAGGACGCAGATCATCACACACACTTACTGACACACTAGCAGGTTTTGTTTTGATGCTTACTTTGTCCCAAATGTAAAGAAACCATGGCTTACCCAGACAGTTGTGTCCATCGTGGGCCAAACGAAAGCCGTCGTAGCACGTGCATCTGTAGTTTCCCGGGATGTTGATGCACTCGTGAACACATCCTCCATTATATTCACTGGCACACTCATCGATATCTGCAAGAACGATCACATTAAACGTTAAACAGCTTATATCACAGAAAATCATGGCTCTTTTGACGCCAAAAAGTTTGGGGTCTTCTTCATACTTTTATTCGGCAAGGATGCATTAAATTGATCAAAAGTGACAATAAAGACATTTATAATATTACAAAAGATTTCTATTTCAAATAAATGCTGTTATTTTTGAAACTTCTATTCAACAACAAATAAATCTAATGTCTTACAAAAATATGAAGCAGCACGACTCTTTTTAACAATGATAACAATCAGAAATGTTTCTTGAGCAGCAAATCAGAATATTAGAATGATTTCTGAAGGATCATGTGACACTGAACTGCAGTAATGATGCTGAAAATTCAGCTTTGATCACAGGAATAAATTACACTTTAAAATAAATTCAAATAGATAACAGTTATTTTAAATTACTAAAATATTTCATAATATTACTGATTTTTTATTAAATAAATTCAGCCTTGGCGAGCAGATATTAACAAAATCTTACCAACTCCAAACTTTTGAATGCTGGTGTATATATTCATTTAAATATTAATAGATACAATTATAATCAGACAATTATATATTTGTAAATTAATTTAATAATTAATAACATTTTAACACTTATTAATATTTTAAATTTTCATATATATTCCATGTACAAATATCACATTTTATCAATCATAAAAATACATAAACATATTATACATACATACATACACACACACACACACACACACACAAACATACACATATATATATATATATATATATATATATGAGAAATATCACACAAAAAGGAACACAA